CAACAGTCCCTGCTCTCTAGCAGGGACTGAAAAGCGGGTCGGACGAACTAATTTGAGCTACTTTAGTTCCTGGGGCTTTTTGGTGTGAACGCAAATATATCGTAGTTCTGATGAACTATTGTGGGAAAAGTACTCCAAAGTACTCCGGTGTGAACGCGCCTACTGACACACAATGTGTTCCTAATTTCAACACTTCCATCTGTCTTAAACCAGTTCCTGTTTTTAGCTAGTTCCTGATTTACTATATTGCCAATGTATGGTTTCTGTTCCTCTGGAAAGCGGGCGTAGCTTATCTATCCATCCAGCCCTGCCATAGTGACAGGTGATGAAGTGTTGTTGAACTGTCAAGATCCTATAAAACCTATACGCACTCTTGCCCCTGTGCGCACTCTTCCCGAATACTCTGTACTGAGACCTGTGCCTTATTTGAAGCTTAAAATGAAGAACCAGAAAGACAAATCTGTTTCCACCATTTTATTGATTGATCATTGTGATTGTGTATCTCCACAGTATTGACTAGGTCTAAGATTTCCAGAACAGTGCTGAACCTACAGGAAGAATAACATGTACAGAGGTCAAACCTTTGTCCAGCAATTTAAACTGCACATACATATTCTCTCATAAGAAATTAAGCCATGGCTAAATCTGGTAGGCTACATTTGATGGTCTCAAGTGCTCGTGTTAACTAATGTGCATGGTCCCTTCTTGAATAAATACAACTACATAATAAAAAATACAACTTTCTCTCTGACAAACATGCTTTTTCTCTAACTCCAAGGCTTAGGCCTATGTGTCATGATTTTCTTGCTACAAGTAGTTGGTAAATACCTCAAGATGAAGCAGGATGGCATTGCGCATTCTCGCTTTCCAGCGCTGGGAACGGCGTCTTTCCTCACGGGATTTGGTTTTCTGCAGCTGGTTCCACTTCCATAAGGCACACAGTATTGCAGTCTTCATAGCCTATATCTCAATATCTCCGTCGTGGTTGAGATATAGATCAGAGGTGTGCCTGGACCTTATATAGGCTGTCAGGTCCCTCATGATTCGGTAATTGATTAGAAATTCGGTACAGGTGTTTTGTCAAAGAAATGTGACTTGATGACCTATCATGTCGTTAAGCCTACTAGTTTAAAAAGGTAAACATACTGTGTATAGTGTATAGACAGTCATTGGGTTTTTTAGGCTTTTGTGTGTGTGAATATATCAAACGTATTGTTTTTACTTCGGCTGTGACTTTGTGTGTGCTCAGGATGAGTTTGGCTGTGTATCCTAAACAAGGAAACAACACCTCCACGGAGCTCAGCGCGATTCACAACGTCCCGACCAATCAGAGCACACTGTGCTCACAGGGAGGGTGGGGGGTGGAGCTATTGGAGCTACAACGAGCCGTTAAAGGCAGAGAGTGAAATTCAGTGAATACACGTAGTTTACAGAGATGCTGTTTGAGAAACCAATGTGAGTTTGGAGAGATGCTGTATGAGAAACCAATGTGAGTTTGGAGAGATGCTGTTTGAGAAACCAATGTGAGTTTGGAGAGATGCTGTATGAGAAACCAATGTGAGTTTGGAGAGATGCTGTTTGAGAAACCAAGGTTCAAGGTTCAAGGTTCAAGGTTCTTTATTGTCAATCTGACATAGCTACAGAGTAATTATGCAGTTGAAAATCTTATGTCACAGGCTTCTCCAACAATGCAACATAATAACATAACATAATAACAATAAGAGCAAGAGCAATACAAAAATAATAATAGTTATAAAAATGAAATAAAGTTATGATGTGGAATAGTGCAGTATGAGTCTATATACAAGTTATTGGAATGATATATATATATTAGGTATTAGATACATACTACTGAGTAGCAGTTGAATGTTTGAAGTTGTTTCAACAGTTCAATTTTTTAACAGTCTCACTGCCCGCGGGAAGAAACTGTCTCCGAATCTTCTTGTCCTTGCCAGGATGCTGCGGTAACGTCTGCCAGACGGCAACAGAAAGAACAGTTTGTGGCTGGGGTGATGGGGGTCTTTGATAATCCGTAGTGATTTCTTCCTGAGCCGCTGGGAGTAAAGGTCCTCCATGGATGGCAGCTCCGTCCTGGTGATGTGCTGTGCAGTTTTCACCACCCTCTGTAAAGCCTTACGATCGAGGTCGGTGCAGCTGCCGTACCAGGCCGTCATGCTGCCAGTGAGGATACTCTCTATCGTGCACCTGTAGAAGTTGCAGAGTATCCTGGAATCCATTTTGAACCTCCTCAACCTGCGGAGGAAGAAGAGCCGCTGTCGAGCTTTCTTAGTGATGGTGGTGGTGTGAAGAGACCATGTCAGGTCCTCAGTGATGTGGACCCCAAGGAACCTGAAGCTTTTGACTCTCTCCACCGTAGTCCCATTGATGGCGATGGGGGCGTGTCCCTCTCCCTGCTGCTTCCTGTAGTCCACAATCAGCTCCTTTGTTTTGCTGATGTTGAGATGGAGGTTGTTCTCCTGGCACCAAGATGTCAGGTTTTCGACCTCCTCTCTGTATGCCGTCTCGTCATCGTCTGTGATCTGGCCGATGACGGTCGTGTCATCAGCAAACTTCACGATGGTGTTGGAGCTGTGTGTGGCCACGCAGTCGTGGGTGAACAGGGAGTAGAGGAGAGGGCTGAGCACGCAGCCTTGAGGGGCACCGGTGTTGAGAATCAGGGTGGAGGATGTGATATTTCCCACCCGCACTGCCTGGGGTCTGCCCGTCAGGAAGTTCAGGATCCAGTCGCAGAGGGCGCTGTTGAGTCCGAGGTCTCTGAGCTTGATGGCCAGCTTGGAGGGCACAATGGTGTTGAATGCTGAACTGTAGTCAATGAACAGCATTCTCACATATGTGTTCCTCTTCTTCGGGTCCAGGTGTGAGAGGGCAGTGTGGAGGGTGAGGGCTATGGCGTCGTCTGTGGACCTGTTTGCTCTGTAGGCAAACTGCAGGGGGTCCAGAGATTCAGGGAGGGAGGAGGTGATGAATAATTTGACTAACCGCTCAAAGCACTTCATTATGATGGAGGTGAGTGCTACTGGGCGGTAGTCGTTGGGGCAGGTGATGATTGTCTTTTTGGGGACAGGAATGATGGTGGAGTGTTTAAGACATGTGGGGACTACAGACTGCAGCAGGGACCTGTTGAAGATGTCTGTGAACACCTCTGCCAGCTGAACTGCACACACCCTGAGAACACGGCCAGGGATGCCATCAGGTCCAGGAGCCTTGTGTGGGTTAACCCTTTTAAAGGATTTACACACATCTGCCCTATTTAAAACAAAAGGGCAGTGTAGCTCCTGGTCCCTCTGTACCTCCACAGCCTGGCTGCTCTCAAAGCGTGCAAAAAAACTGTTTAGCTCATCTGGGAGAGATGCGCACGCAGACACTCCCGCAGCACCCCCCGCTGCTCCTTTGTAGTCAGTCATTGTCCTTAGTCCCGCCCACATATTCCTAGTGTTACAGCCTTTGAAGTCAGATTCCACCTTCTCTTTGTACTGTCTCTTTGCATTTTTTATTGCTCTCCGGAGATCATACCTAGACTTCCTGTACTCCTCCAAATCTCCCGCTGTGTGCGCGAGAGTGCGCGCTTTCAGTTTGCCGCGCACCTCACCGTTTACCCAGGGCTTTTGATTTGGGAATGTCCGTACAGAAACCTTCGGTACCACGTCATCGATGCATTTCCCAATGTAGCAGATGACAGTGTCCGTGTGTGTGTTGATGTTATTGTCCTCAAACACACTCCAATCCGTAGATGCAAAGCAATCCTGCAGTGCTGCATCTGACTCCTCGCTCCATCGTTGTACTGTCCTTGTTATCGGTCTGTCCCTTTTAAGTTTCTGCTTGTAAGCAGGCAACAACAGTAGTGAGATATGGTCTGATTTGCCGAAGGGAGGGCGAGGGAGAGCCTTATATCCATTCCGGAAAGGGGAATAAACATGGTCCAGTATGTTTCCCCCGCGCGTCGGGAAGTTGATGTGTTGGTAATATTTTGGCAAACCAATGTGAGTTTGGAGAGATGCTGTATGAGAAACCAATGTGAGTTTGGAGAGATGCTGTTTGAGAAACCAATGTGAGTTTGGAGAGATGCTGTTTGAGAAACCAATGTGAGTTTGGAGAGATGCTGTATGAGAAACCAATGTGAGTTTGGAGAGATGCTGTTTGAGAAACCAATGTGAGTTTGGAACAATGCACAATATAAATCTATTCTAGTAGACCTCAACAATGGAATTATGATCAGTGGAAATGGCCATGACACCTCTCCTTTAAATAAATAACAATAATCTTTGAATTCATATTTTTATGTTTGTGGTATTTGATGTCCTTTCTTGTTGCAGCTGATAGTGGAGACCCAGGGTATGACAACAACTAATATTTATTATGAACTGATATATCTCTCTAAAAAGGTCAAATTTAACTTGTTTTGCCTCAATCTTGATACAGGGTACTTATTATATGTTATAGTTTGGATTCCTAAAGCTTGTAGTCTACCATCCCATCATTCAAGGGTGGTTTTCACTATAAGTAATGTTTTTTCTTTAGGCGGAGGTAAGAATTTACCTTTTTTTGCTATGTTCCATCTGAATTTACTCTGACTGAGAAAAATCTATATTGATTCTGACACTTCTACATCCAACTCACAGATGTAACCTTGCTTTGATAAAATAAATTATTCATATAACTCTTTTAGAAGTGAAGTTGTAGTCATTTGTTTTGGGCATGTCATTTTCGAGCCTGAAACCTGAAAAACAGGCTCGGGGCTTAACAGGCTAACAAGTGACATGTAATATAATGTAGTGTAGTGTAGTACTGAGTCCTGCCTGTCAGTCACCACTGAGGGCAGGCCCCGCCCCCTCCTGTCAGTCACAGCTCAGGCCCCGCCCCCTCCTGTCAGTCACAGCTCAGGCCCCGCCCCCTCCTGTCAGTCACAGCTCAGGCCCCGCCCCCTCCTGTCAGTCACAGCTCAGGGCTAGCCTAACCCTTTCTGCAGGTTGAATCTGCTTTTAATTCAAAGTCAAGTTTTAAAGGAGTCACATCTCTGAACAGAGGAGCGGAAGACACACACTCTTGCAGCCGAAAAACAGCTCCTATTCTCGGATACAAACCCCCCAGAGGAGCCCGGTCCAGGTTTGACTTGCAGGTAAGCTTGCTCTTTAATGGTCCTGTTGTCTTCGTTTTCCCCTTACTTTGGTGTTCGCGGTCAAATTTGACCGATCCTGTTTTAACTGCTATTACATTAACACAAAAACCATTAATCATCACCACATTTCATTTAACACCCTTTCAAACTGTAACTATTGTATCAGACTACTGGTATACATGAAAAACTGCAGTAAATATACAAAGAACAGACACTGAACATGTCTTGCGTGTGCCAGGTGTGATCCATGGGGGGGATGGGCACATAAGAGCAGGAAATGTATCAAATAGTTTTCTGTTTGTGTGTGTGTGTGTGTGTGTGTGTGTGTGTGTGTGTGTGTGTGTGTGTGTGTGTGTGTGTGTGCGTGTGTGTGTGTGGGCGTGCATGTGTGTGTGTGTGTGTGTGTGTGTGTGTGTGTGTGTGTGTGTGTGTGTGTGTGTGTGTGGGCGTGGGCGTGGGCGTGCGTGCGTGGGCGCACCTTGCGAACAGAAAGGCAGGCAACTGCTTGGGGCCCCGGACCAGAAGGGGGCCCCCAAAGAAGGTAGATTAAGAAGGTCCACAGCAACGACAACATGAAACACCCTTTAATTTACTGCAACGACATGTCGGGAAACCCCCTCAAGGCGGCCCCATGCATAGCGCGCCGTAAAATGCTGCTTCTTATCTTTAGTTTCGTTCTTCGTTGCCTTGCTCAGCTCCGGGGGAGGGGGGGTGCTGTCGGCAGTGCATGGTGATGAAAAGCTGGTTCGAGGGCCCCCACAGACTCTAGAATCGCCACTGTGTGTGTGCTTGTGTGTGTTTGTATGTTTGTGTGTGATCCATGGGGGGGATGGGCACATAAGAGCAGGAAGTGTGTGTGTGTTATCTGATTCGGATGGTTACTAATTCCTTTTCTTTATGGCGGTTACAAAGTTGACTATTGACTAATCATCCAAAATGCAATGAAAGTGGTGATCAGCTATTTCTATGTTCAAATGTCTCTGTGAAGGATATCATGAAGCCTTAATGCAGTCGAATGTAAAACTAAAAAGTGAGTATTGATGAAAGTAGTAAATCGGTCAGATTTGACCCGAACACAACAGGAAGGTTAACGGTGCTTTAAACCAGACCTCATTGGAAAAACATGCATTATATGATCCTGTAGATGTTTACATGAAAACACACACTCAATAGCATGAGTACAGGAATCTACGGGATCACACCTTTTACTCGGTGTACACACATCACACATACCTGTTAGTATATTCATATTTATACAACTTGTATTCCCACTACTGCTGTTTTCCCGCCTCTAGAGGGACGTTTATTTAGCAATTTATTCAAAATACATGTTTAATAGTGGATAAATGATATGCCGAATTCATCAGAAGTAACCCAAGCAGCTTATTATGAACTATCCTGTCTGAAATCAACACATATCTTGATAAATACCCACGTTTTTGTTAAATATGCAGTAAGTTGAGTGGAGTTTGGTACCTGTGTGCTTGTGAGACACATGGAGGTTGAGCGCGCCGCACAGGTTGTCTGTTAGTTTATGAGGCTATTTATGCTAAATACAGGGCTTCATAGTGGATGGAATATATGCCGAACTCACCAGCATTAACCACAACAGCTTATTAGGAATTAGTTTAGTCTTACATCAAAGTTTATTTGTCATTATACCCACGTTTCCGTTAAATACAGTCATTTGGGTGGAGTTTGGTACATTTTGTGCTTGTGTGTTCAGATTATTAAGCAAATTATTCAAAATACAGAGCTTAATAGTAGATAAAATACTTGCCGAATTCATCAGAACTAACCCAAACAGCTTATTGCGAACTAGTTTAGTCTTACATCAAAGTTTATTTGTCAATATACCCATGTTTTCCTTAAATACTCAGATATTTGGGTGGAGTTTGGTACATTGTGTGGTTTTGTTCGGTCTGGCCTGAATGGAGCCCGGTGGCTCGGCAGGACAGAGATAGCAGTGCTCTGAAACACGTGGTCGACTTTGATAAAGTGGCTAACTTTAGCAACGTCACTTAATGCCATTATCGTAGGAAGTAGTTCTGAAAGTTAGCTGATAGCAGGTTAGCATGGATTCAATCTAGAGAGTTAAACTACATTTTAAAGCGATATGGATTCATTCTGAAGGGTGTTGCTGCTTTTATTGATGCTTTTAACTCGTGAGTAAATAAAAATTATATTTTATTTTTGGTGGCAGATTATGATGAAAATAAATAGACCAATATATTTACTATGCGTGTTGTTTTTCTCCCTGTCCGATTCAGCATGGCAGCCTACGACATTTTGAGAAGAAATAAGACATCCATTGTGGACACTTTGTGTGCAGACCACCCGCGAATCCTCATCAAAGCTCAGGAAAATGAGTTGATAACTCCACGTGAGTACACAAATCTGAAAAGTAACGACAAACTAGATGTAGAGGTCCGCGTTGTGGCGTTGGTGGATAAGATCATGGACAAAGGAGAGGACAGATGCCAAGCCTTCCTGAACCTCCTGCAAACTGATAAGGACATCCAGGAGACTTACCCTAAGCTGAAGAACATACTGGAGAAGGAAAACTGCCTCTTGCCACACCCGGTTCAGGCTTCTTCAGTTGAAAACATCGGTACGTTAACATGCATACAAATGACTAATACGCATGCCAAATGTGTGTTACTGTGAGGTTGACAAATGTTACGTTTGTAAAGTGTCCTTCTGTTTCCCTCTTATTCCCACAGATAATCAGCCAGAAAGCCGAAAGGAGGTGAGATAAGCTAATATTGAAAAAGCACACTTCATGTTAAAATGCATGCATCAGGGTTTTTAGTTAGCCTTTGTAAAAAAGACACAAATAACATACTTATTATCCTGTATTAACTTATATTTTGAAAAAAATGCGTCCAATTTCCAAGATGGCCGTCATTTCCATCCAAGTAAACAGTATTTTTAACATTTTCACCACTTTTGGTTTTGAATTACAGCCAAATTCACAATTTAGAAAGTTCTTCAGAGCTACGTTCTGTCCTTTAAACACATAACGTTACAATGTGGGGCGTATTAGAAAGCACACTGATACTGATGAGAGTCTTCTATGTTAGCAAGCTACCAACACCATGATGTCCCCAGTGTACCTCTACAGTACTACACTCCTACACCCCAACATACCTCCACCACCTACAGCTGCACTGCATGTTGGCTACCCAGTTTTCTATTGGCAGATTATTTAAATGTTATGGTTTAGACAACTTCTGAGTCATTCCTGACGTCTGAATTTTGTTTCTACGTTGTTATTAAATGTATGATTTGACACCAAGTTTGTTTGTTTTGAGCACTTGCTTCCACTTTTGGACTATTTATTAATATATGTAATGATCTGCAGCACTATTTAGCAATGATATCCACATAGCTATTATTCTTCATCAAAAACCTTAAAGTGTAAATATATTAGATTGTGTCCACACAGCCCAGACCTAATCCATTCCAGTTTCATCATGTTGTGTTTGTGTGAAATTGTTTCTGTTGTTTTCAGGACGAGCAGTACGAGTTGAAGAGCCAGCCCACCGGCCTCTGCCTGATCATAAACAACAAAACGTTTCCTGGTGATGGTAAAAAGATACCTGAAAACGTGAGATATGGAACCGATAAAGATGCTGGTACGTTACAGAGTGGACAGATGTATATTATCATCCCGGTGTTGCCTGTTGAAGCCTAACTAGGTTTTATTTCACTGCAGAAAGCTTGGCAGAGGTGTTCAGCTGGCTGGGGTTCAGAGTGCTGATGTGTAAAGACCAAACCAAGGACCAGATGGAGCGAGCGCTGAAATGCTTTGCTTCTCAGTGCGACCTTTCTCAGCTGCAGGAGTTCAAGGTCCAGGAGTGGACTCGCAGCGGATTCACCAAACTTCTAGAGGCTCCTCAGCATGGCGATGCCTTCATCTGCTGTGTTCTCAGTCACGGGCGACAGGGTGTCGTATTGGGGGTTGATAAGCTGCCCCTCCCTATCAAACAAATAAAGAGAATCTTCATGGCAACTCGTCAATCTCCCCTCACTGCCAAGCCCAAAGTGTTCCTGATCCAGGCCTGCCAGGGGGGCCAGGTACATCCTATGGTGGTATCAGACGATCTGCAGGCTGATGACTCTGACTCGACATCCATCCCTCAGGAAGCAGATATTCTAGTTCATTGTTCCACTGTTGAAGATTATTTTTCTATGAGACACCCAGTGGAGGGGAGCTGGTTCATCCAATCTGTCTGTAAGCAGCTAAAAGACGGCTGTGACGGGTAAATGTCAGACTCAACATTAATGATATAGTTATTGAAATATCCAAAAGATTTTGTAGATCTAAATCTGATGATAAGATCGTTAACATATATTTTACCCTCGACTTAATGTGACCATCATGTGATAACATGTTTTTCTACCCCTCATATTTATTTAGGAAGGAAGAAATTGATCCCATACTCCGCCGCGTGAACAATGAAGTAGCCGGGAAACAGACTGTTGTGAAACATGGTCCAACAACGCAGATGGCCGAAATTACGAACACCCTGAGGAAGCGTCTTGTGTTGACTCCTCGCAACTGAAGCCTCATCGCCAAACACACAATACTGTGAGGACCCCTGCTTTACTCTCTCCTGGTGTGTGTGTGTGTGTGTGTGTGTGTGTGTGTGTGTGTGTGTGTGTGTGTGTGTGTGTGTGTGTGTGTGTGTGTGTGTGTGTGTGTGTGTGTGTGTGTGTGTGTGTGTGTGTGTGTGTGTGTGTGTGTGTGTGTGTGTGTGTGTGTGTGTGTGTGTGTGTGTGTGTGTGTGTGTGTGTGTGTGTGTGTGTGTGTGTGTGTGTGTGTGTGTGTGTGTGTGTGTGTGTGTGTGTGTGTGTGTGTGTGTGTGTGTGTGTGTGTGTGTGTGTGTGTGTGTGTGTGTGTGTGTGTGTGTGTGTGTGTGTGTGTGTGTGTGTGTGTGTGTGTGTGTGTGTGTGTGTGTGTGTGTGTGTGTGTGTGTGTGTGTGTGTGTGTGTGTGTGTGTGTGTGGCCCTTTCACCGATCTCCCTTCCTCCCTATCAGCACTGACTGAGGGCACCTGGCCGTCGGCACCTGAGGAGTGAAAGGCCAGAGTCTCTCTCTCTGCTGAGGATCTGTTTGGAGAGCAGCTATCTGATTCATGCTTTGGTTTACCTTCATCTTAGTTTGGCACACACACACACACACACACACACACACACTACTGACTAACACCCCCCATGGTGGTAGCTCTTTAGTTTAGTTGAATGGCTCATAATGAATATCTTCCTTATATCATGTCTGTTGTCGTCATGGCCCAGAGCCAGGCCATGACGACACACAATGTCTGACTTAAAGGGGACCTATCATGCAAAATGCACTTGTGTACGTCTTTTCTACATGAATATGTGTCCCCGGTGTTCCAGGGAACTCACCAAGTGTCAGAAAACACAACCCTCTCTATTTTCCTCCATACCCAAATCTCTAAAAAAGGGGCTGCAACGGATCTGATAAAAACTGATCCAGATTTGAACACTGTCCTGACGTCAGGACGGTGGCGCTACGGCTATTGGGCCAACTCCACCAATCAGGAGAAGACAGCCACGGCCATTGCCGTTCGAAAGCGCTGGAGACGCTGTAGTACATATGCCAGGCCTGTAGATGGTGCTGTTCTCACTGAATCAGCCCTTGCTAAAACAGGGGTAAAAAAGAGCAAATTGAGCGAAATGACTAAAATGCATGATCTGTTTGGTATTTTGAAAAAAATAAGTATAAATATGTCTTATATAGGTATGGTCCTACACTATATTATTATAATATAGCATGATAGGTCCACTTTAAGGAAGTATAATCAACTCGGGGGGGGGGGGGGGTTTCTTAAAATGCATTCTATCTTTTTTATTATTCTTAATCTCTCTATTTCTCTAATCGTCTCTTTGAATAATTGTATTTGATATTGTCACAGATTTTGGTTGCATAATAAATCTGTCTTTATACCCAAAGAATGATGATCACTTGGTCCATGAGTTGGTAACGGGGGGTAGGGGCACATAAGATTTCTCAAGTTATTATTTGTCATACACACACACACACACACGGGATTAATAGAAACATATTTCTTCGGGGGTGCTTTTTACGACAGGCCGGAGGCCTGTACTACGAAGCCGGATGTTCTCTTAGCGGCTAAATTCAGGGAAATCTCTGGGTTTCCGGTCCTACGACGCTGGTTCTCTTTTTAGCGGGCTAGATCTCCATGGTAACTTATGCTGAGCGGCAAACCTGCTCCGGAGCAGGTTTGGTTGCAGGCTAAGAGATCAACTCAGTGAAAGCACCGCCTGCTGACCAATCAGAGCTCCGTGTGCGGAGTTTAAAGCTATCAAGTCATATTACAGGATAGAGGAAATACAGAAAAACTGCCGTTGCAGGAAAGACGGCCGGCAAAAATCACCTGACTGTGTGAACGTGAACATTAATAGAATATCCCCTCCCATCTTCAGAGCAATCTGACTATTATAACATTAGCGTTAAGAAAGCTTACTTAAATATCTGCCACGACATAAGTAACCGGATCAGAGTAACATTAAGTACAGTCCACGGCACTGTGAGTGCAGACGTAGATGTGTCTCATTATCATTCATATCATATCACATCATAATGTATCATATATTTCCTTATCTGAGTCAGCTGAGCCGTATCTGGCCGTGCAACACTCAGTGTCACATACTGTATGCAGAAGTATTATTTTAAGCAACACATTAAGTTGACGAAACACTCGAGTCAAATGTAATTAAAGTCAGATCGTGTCTTGGACGGGGCAGTGATATCATAAACCTGTTAATGTATGCATTCAAACACTTTTTCTGTTACCAGCTGTATTCACCTTGCAGGTGCAGCTATGTGGCTTTGATCCTGGGTAAAGTGTTTAAGTCATGGATGTTTAAAGTTTAACGTCTTCATATTTGTCTAATATTAAAGTTCACTTTTCATTCAGGAAGTATGACGCTGCGCTGTCAGTACGCTTGTCCATGTTTGTGATTGGTCGAATGCTCCAAATACCACCCCTTTCATGTGAACGCGCACCTAACTAGATAGGGCACGGCTGGCTTGAGCGATCCACTTGATAACCAGCGTCGTAGGACCGCTTAGTGCCAGCGCGTATGTTTTGGATTGGGCCAACCGGCTAACTCCAACATATCCAGGTTAGGTTGAACCAGCTTCGTAGTACAGGCCTCTGGTTGCCACGATATGCACCACGATATGCACCCCCTTGCTATCTCTGACAATAAACGTGTCACATTCATGAAACTTGCTCCATGTATTGGTGCTAGTGCTACAACTACACCCTCAAAAGTGCTTGATGCTGGGAGCAACAGAAACACATTTTATCATCCGAGTCAGAAATAATAAAATGATGGAGTGAGGGCTACTCCTGCAACTGCCCAACACATTTACATACACACAGTAATTAATAATACATGTTGAATGAAATGCAGAAATAAAGTGACATATTATCCATACTGAAATAGTGTACACATCAAAGTGTTATCCCACATCAAATAAACATTCATTTTGAAGATTGGAGTCCAGTGACATGTTAAGCAATCAAAGTCAGTGTGTGTCTAGCAAATGAGCTTCTGTCAAGGCTGTTCAATTTGGGGACCGTTGCAACAACTTGTTTCATTTGTCCCCAAGCTGACCAGCCATATCAAGACGACACAACAGATGTTCTACATTAAGGGATACATAAAGGTATAGTTAACCTAAATACAAGTTTGTTCAACACAAAAGTACATTTGAGGTAAATCTTATCATAGTTCTCCCATTTATATCAAATGGACTACCGTTGTCTTCTACAGTGGCATATTGATGTCATACTAAAATATATAAATAAGAGTATCTTAAATTGTAAACATTTATATATGTACATTTAAGTTATTCAAGGTACATAATCATTAGGGATATAAATGTAATTATATATTAAAGTAATATTATAATTGTAATGGTCCATTAGCTAATAATAAGCCATTATTGCTTGTCCATTCAATTACATATTGTGAACATGTCATATTCATCTTTAAATGGTGTAGGCATTTTTATAGGCAAAGTTTAATCTAAGAAACCTCGCAGTCTCCCCATATTATAGCGTAGTACGATCAAGTCAAGAAAGAATGTAATGCAGGTAATTATCTCATATATGCGCACATGTCTGTCTTCTGGATTGCTTTTGCACATTACCAATACAAGCAACTTGCACACGCGCCCCCCATGCGCCCCCCACTCGCCCCCCATGCGCCCCCCACTCGCCCCCCCTGTGGTACAGCCGACAGCTACACCGTGAAGCTTGCTCTGAATTCGGTGTTAAATGGAGAATAATTGTTACCAAATCATTTTCGATTACAAGCATAAAGGCCAGTATCCGCTAGACAGCACGAAGACATTGAACAATGAAATAAGAAGAAAGGGTTCCACTTATGTCCTGGAAGGTGAGTTTTGGATTGATTGTTTAAGTAATCATAGACACCCCGCAAACTTTTGTAAGTCAATATGCGGATTGTATAAGTTTCATTTATTTGATGTCAACGAATATTATAATTTATGTTAAAGAAATATTTTTCCATTTCTTTTAATGTTAAATATTAATACTTCTAAAATTTCCTTTTTTCTTTATTTCTTCATTTAACTAAATATCCAAGAAACGGGACTTTTCTATTTTCTTTTATGAAACGAAAAGATGTCTGATTAAAAAGAGTGCAGTTTTTTTAATTAATTTTCTTATTTTTGGGGCATTTCACGTGTTTTTTGACCCCTTATTATTAGTGAGTATTTTAATTAATTAATCGTATTTTTATAAAATGTTCACTGACAAATCAAGACATTTTATAGAACATTATTTTTCTTTATTTCTTTATTTTAATATATCAATGCAAAATAGATTTTTTTAAAGAAATAACAATAATCTTTGAATTCATATTTGAATGTTTGTGGTATTTGATGTCCTTTCTTGTTGCAGCTGATAGTGGAGACCCAGGGTATGACAACAACTAATATTGATTATGAACTGATATATCTTAAGACATCAAACACATCACCTGGACTAATTAATCAATTATACATGTGGAGTGTTGTACTGAGTCCTGCCTGTCAGTCAGCGCTGAGGGCAGGTCCCGCCCCCTCCTGTCAGTCAGCACTGAGGGCAGGCCCCGCCCCCTCCTGTCAGTCACAGCTCAGTCCCCGCCCCCCCCTGTCAGTCACAGCTCAGGCCCCGCCCCTCCTGTCAGTCACAGCTCAGGCCCCGCCCCTCCTGTCAGTCACAGCTCAGGCCCCGCCCCCTCCTGTTAGTCACAGCTCAGGGCTAGCCCCGCCCCCTCCTGTTAGTCACAGCTCAGGGCAGGCCCCTCCTGTCAGTCACAGCTCAGTCCCCGCCCCCCCTGTCAGTCACAGCTCAGGCCCCGCCCCCTCCTGTTAGTCACAGCTCAGGGCTAGCCCCGCCCCCTCCTGTTAGTCACAGCTCAGGGCAGGCCCCTCCTGTCAGTCATAGCTCAGTCCCCGCCCCCCCTGTCAGTCACAGCTCAGGCCCCGCCCCTCCTGTCAGTCACAGCTCAGGTCCCGCCCCCTCCTATCAGTCACAGCTCAAGGCTAGCCCCGCCCCCTCCTGTCAGTGACAGCTCAGGGCTAGCCCCCTCCTGTTAGTCACAGCTCAGGGCAGGCCCCGCCCCCTCCTGTCAGTGACAGCTCAGGGCTAGCCCCGCCCCTTTCTGCAGGTAGAATCTGCTTTTAATTCAAAGTCAAGTTTTAAAGGAGTCACATCTCTGAACAGTGGAGCGGAAGACACACACTCTTGCAGCCGAAAAACAGCTCCTATTCTCGGATACAAACCCGGTCCAGGTTTTTCTAACGGAGGACTTGATCCAGGTAAGCTTGCTCTTTAATGGTGCTGTTCGTTCCCCCCCCCCCTTACTTTGGTGTTCGCGGTCAAATTTGACCGATCCTGTTTTAACATTAACACAAAAACCATGAATCATCACCACATTTCATTTAACACCCTTTCAAACTGTACATATTGTATCAGACTACTGGTATAGAGTGCCACAGGGCCGCACCCTAAAACCTGGAAGTAAGCTTCTTCCGGTTCCTTCGACAAAAAAGCAATGGTGTGTGTTCAAATGTCTCTGTGAAGGATATCATGAAGCCTTAATGCAGTCTGATGTAAAACTAACAAGTGAGTATTGATGAAAGTAGTAAATCGGTCAGACCCGAACACAACAGGAGGGTTAACGGTGCTTTAAACCAGACCTCATTGGAAAAACATGCATTATATGATCCTGTAGATCAGGGGTACTCAAACTTTTTTATAAAAGGTCCACTTGTGAACTTAATACAAGGTCACTGGTCCGGATCAATGCCAGTAAAGTCCCCCCCCCCCACCCGACCCGAAGCGGAGAAACGAAACTGAAATTAAGAAGCAGTTTCTTGGCGCTCTATGCATGGGGCCGCCTTGAGGGGGTTTCCCGACATGTCGTTGCAGTAAATTAAAGGGTGTTTCATGTTGTCGTTGCTGTGGACCTTCTTAATCTACCTTCTTTGGGGGCCCCCTTCTGGCCCAAGCACTTGCCTGCCTTGCCTGTCGGCAAATGGCGCCCCTGTAATATACACACACATTCAATACATACATACAGTATGGTGGCTTGAACTAGTGGGAGAAATGGCACTGTTTGTCTGTAGCCAATGCCTTGAACCTCGGCAAAAAAGGCATTAGAAGCAGAAAGAAGAAAGTCAAGGTAAACTTGCGGTTAACTTGCGGACACAAGTAAATATATATGCACGTTCATTCTCACAATGCGTCAGACACAAGACGCGCGTACACAATGATGTACATTAAAGGTGGGGTAGGTAAGTTTGAGAAACCGGCTCGAGATCGCTAGAATTTGAAAATACACAACCGGAGAAAATCTGCCACTTCCTCACAGAGCCCCTCCTCCAACACACACGAACGTGCACATAACCAATGAGGGCACGAGATAAGTTTGTGAACAGATGGAAGGCTGACAGGCAGGTAGGCCATCCAGTTATTTTAGCCGGGCCGGCTCAGATGATTGGTCGTGCTTTTTACAGTACTACAGCTTCCACTGATGACATTTTTTTATGGATTTTTTGTCAAAGGACTTAAGATATTCATTGCTATCGGGATGTTAAGAGCATTCCATGGAATATAACAACAAGTGTATCTCGAGCCGGTTTCTCAAACTTACCTACCCCACCTTTAATTTATCAGAATCAGATTTTTTTATTTTTTTTTTATTTAATTTTTTTTAATTTTTTATAATGGGACACAGGGTTCGGTCCGGATTGATTTGCAGTTCGGTCCGTATCCGGACCTTGGTCTGGAGTTTGAGAAGCCCTGCTGTAGATGTTTACATGAAAACACACACTCAATAGCATGAGTACAGGAATCTACGGGATCACATCTTTTACTCGGTGTACACACATCACACATACCTGTTAGTATATTCATATTTATACAACTTGTATTCCCACTACTGCTGTTTTCCCGCCTCTTTAGAGGGACGTTTATTTAGCAATTTATTCAAAATACATGTTTAATAGTGGATAAATGATATGCCGAATTCATCAGAAGTAACCAAGACAGCTTATTATGAACTAACCTGTCTGAAATCAACACATATCTTGATAAATACCCACGTTTTTGTTAAATATACAGTAAGTTGAGCGGAGTTTGGTACCTGTGTGCTCGTGAGACACATGGAGGTTGAGCGCGCCGCATAGGTTGTCTGTTAGTTTATGAGGCTATTTATGCTAAATACAGAGCTTAATAGTGGATATAATACTTGCCGAACTCACCAGCATTAACAGCTTATTAGGAACTAGTTTAGTTTTAAATCAAAGTTTATTTGTCATTATACCCACGTTTTCCTTAAATACTCAGATATTTGGGTGGAGTTTGGTACATTGTGTGGTTTTGTTCGGCCTGGCCTGAATGGAGCCCGGTGGCTCGGCAGGACAGAGATAGCAGTGCTCTGAAACATGTGGTCGACTTTGATAAAGTGGCTAACTTTAGCAACGTCACTTAATGCCATTATCGTAGGAAGTAGTTCTGAAAGTTAGCTGATAGCAGGTTAGCATGGATTCAATCTAGAGAGTTAAACTACATTTTAAAGCGATATGGATTCATTCTGAAGGGTGTTGCTGCTTTTATTGATGCTTTTAACTCGTGAGTAAATAAAAAAATGATATTTTATTTTTGGTGCCAGATTATGATGAAAAAAAATAGACCAATATATTTACTATGCGTGTTGTTTTTCTCCCTGTCAGATTCAGCATGGCAGCCTACGACATTTTGAGAAGTAATAAGATATCCATTGTGGACACTTTGTGTGCATACGACAGGCTAATCCTCAACAAAGCTTATGAAAAGAAGTTGATGACTGCACGCGAGTACAACAAACTGAGAAGCATCAAGAAACTAGATGCAGAGGGCCAGGTTGGTGAATAAGATCATGAACAAAGGAGAGTGGGCCTGCCAAGCCTTCCTGAAGCTCCTGCAAACTGATGAGGCTATCCAGAAGACTTACCCTGAGCTGGAGAACATACTGGAGGTGAGATAACCTATTATTTAAAAAGCACACTTCATGTTAAAATGCTTGCGTCAGGGTTTTTAGTTAGCCTTTGTAAAAAAGACACCTTTAACATCCTTATTATCCTGTATTGACTTACATTTTGAAATAAATGCGGCCAATTTCCAAGATGGCCGTCATTTCCATCCAAGTAAACAGTATTTTAACATTTTCACCACTTTTGGTTTTGAATTACAGCCAAATTCACAATTTAGAAAGTTTTTCAGAGCTACGTTCTGTCCTTTAAACACAGAACGTTACAATGTGGGGCGTATTAGAAAGCACACTGATACTGATGAGAGTCTTCTATGTTAGCAAGCTACCAACACCATGATGTCCCCAGTGTACCTCTACAGTACTACACTCCTACACCCCAACATACCTGCACCACCTACAGCTGCACTGCATGTTGGCTACCCAGTTTTCTATTGGCAGATTATTTAAATGTTATGGTTTAGACAACTTCTGAGTCATTCCAGAGGCCTGTACTATGAAGCCGGATGTTCTCTTAGCTAACTTCAGGGTAAACTCTGGGTTTCCGGTCCTACGACGCTGGTTCTCTTTTTAGCGGGCTAGATCTCCATGGTAACTTATGCTGAGCGGCTAACCTGGTCCGGAGCAGGTTAGGTTGCAGGCTAAGAGATCGCTGACCAATCAGAGCTCAGTGTGCGGAGTTTAAAGCGATCAAGTCATATTACAGAGGAAATACAGAAAGACGGCCGGCAAAAATCACCGACTGTGTGAACGTGAACATTAATAGAATATCCCCTCCCATCTTCAGAGCAATCTGACTATTATAATATTAGCGTTAAGAAAGCTTACTTAAATATCTGCCACAACATAAGTAACCGGATCAGAGTAACATTAAGTACAGTCCGCGGCACTGTGAGTGCAGACGTCGATGTGTCCCATTATCATTCATATCATATCACATCATAATGTATCATATATCTCCTTATCTGAGTCAGCTGAGCCGTATCTGGCCGTGCAACACTCACAGTGTCACATACTGGATGCAGAAGTATTATTTTAAGCAACACATTAAATTGACGAAACACTGGAGTCAAATGTAATTAAAGTCAGATCGTGTCTTAGACGGGGCAGTGATATCATAAACCTGTTAATGTACGCATTCAAACACTTTCTCTGTTACCAGCTGTATTCACCTTGCAGGTGCAGCTATGTGGCTTTTATCCTGGATAAAGTGTTTAAAGGGCCCATGTCATGGCCATTTCCACTGATCATAATTACATTGTTGAGGTATACTAAAATAGATTTATACTGTGCAATTTTCCAAACTCACATTGGTTTCGCATACAGCATCTCTGTCAAGCATGTGTATTCAGCAGTATTCACTTTCTCCACTAAACGACTCGTTGGAGCTCTTGCCCCCCCCTCCCTGTGAGCCTAGTGTGCTCCGATTGGTCAGCTCGGCCACTCGTTCTGATTAGTCAACCACCAGAGAGGCTGCGCCCATGTCAGTGCTTTTCCCGGCTGCTCTCAGCGTAACATCAGTCTTATCATGGCGTCGGTACAGCCGTATATTTTATATACATATATATTTTTAACTGTTGTTATAGAAGAGTGTGACGGCCTCAGGGCCTTTGTCTTACGGTGGGGTGGAGCTGAAGAGGGTAATCAGCGCGATCACGGACACCTCCGTAGCCGGTGCTATTAATCCCAGCGGCCCGGAGTCTCTCTCCAAAGCGGCTGCAGAAGTACGAACTGAGCGACCCTCTCCCCTCGACCACCTGTCTCTGCATTTACTACAATAAATGTGCCGTGGTTTTGTAAACTCGTGTATGTCTCCTTGTCTTTCCGTTGTGGCCTACGAGCTACTCTCATAACAAAGAGTAAGTTATTTTTACCCGTTATAAACTACTACTGTTTGATGAGAAATCAAATCATGGTTTGCTATATATGAATTCAGGGAAGAAAGGATAGGCCTACTAAGTATTTCCATTAAACTTTATTTTTAGAAATGTACAAAATGAACATAAATATACATATATACACGGTATATCATCCATTCCTCCTCCTCGCATCTTGCCTGCGCACAGTCGGTGCGGTGCCTTTTAGCACCCTCAGTAGTAGTAGAATCCCTTCCCCGTCATGGATTGTCCGCCAGGATCTGGCTGGACGAAATCAAATGCAAATCACAAAATATTAGAGAAACTTAGTTGTTTTAGATTCGTTAGTAGTAGTTGTGTAATGAACAGCTTGCCTGCTAATATGCTAACCTAGCTTTGTTTACCTTGGTAGCTAACACGATATGAACGTTAGCTTGGAGGAAAGGCAACTATAATGCAGTGTAATAAAACTACTATGAACAAAAGCTAGTGGTTCATATTAGGCTAGCAATAACGTGTTTATAATTGCAATCGTATACGGGTATTCTGCTACGTTCGGTCATACAATGTAACTTGCATGAATACATTGTTTTGCGCTAGCATACAGCTAGCCTCGTTAGCTACATGCAGTATATGTACGGTCACAATGTACGGTAAATCACAGTACAGTATACTGTATGAGTATTCCGTGTGTGTGACTGCAGACATTCTCCTGCCATGACAAACATGTAAGGCCATCTGCTGACATTGTAGTTGATATATTTAAACGCTAGCAACGTAGCATCACAAAAATGTTTTTCTGACCGAAACTAGCTCTAGCTCCGTGTGTTAGATCGCTACGCCAGCTATAATGTAATTACGTTTCGCGACTGACCGGCAAATCACCCGGAGTATACTGTCAATAGGTATTTTGTGTGTGAATGCAGACATTCTCCTGCTATGAGATACATGTATGCAAGGCCATCTGCTGATATTAGAGTTGATATATGGAAACTCTAGCAACTTAGTTAGCACTGTGTCAATGGCTTAGCAGTCCAACACAGTTTACACATTTAAACAGTCTTGTTTGATAAATACACAAATAACAATGCAAACTTACAGGTTGTATACCCAGATCTTCCCCTGCTCCAAACGGTCCAAACAAGCTGTGCATATCCGGCCTCAAACTGGGCAATGTTTTGGAAGCTTTCGTCTGTGAAATGCCGGTTCTTCGAACCTCTGGAGGAGGAACACGACGCTGCTGGTGTGGCCATAGCTCTTCGGGATTGGTCCATTTCGTTCCGGGTACCGCATGACATCAGGCGGTACCCGGAACTAAATGGAAGACTCAAATGGGCAGTGACGTATCTCCAACGAGGCGTTTTGGGGAGGTATTTTCTGTGTTAGAGTTTTACTCGCTACAGGGTGTACTTTGAGGGTTTTGACTCTGCACACCGTTTACATGCATAAAAACCTTCATAACACACAAGGGGACGGGTAATAACCGGAAAAGCATGACATGGGAGCTTTAAGTCATGGATGTTTAAAGTTTAACTTCTTCATATTTGACTAATATTAAAGTTCACTTTTCATTCAGGAAGTATGACGCTGCGCTGTCAGTGCGCTTCTCCATGTTTGTGATTGGTCGAATGCTCCAGATACCACCCCTTTCATGTGAACGCGCACCTAACTAGATAGGACACGGCTGGCTTGAGTTAACGAGTTGTATAACCAGCGTCGTAGTACAGTTTAGCGAGAGCGCGTATGTTTTGGATTGGGCCAACCGGCTAACTCCAACATATCCAGGTTAGGTTGAACCAGCTTCGTAGTACAGGCCTCTGACGTCTGAATTTTGTTTCTACGTTGTTATTACATTTATGATTTGACACCAAGATCAATTATTGAGCAAGTGAAAGTGATTTAATGGCAAAAAGGACATTTCCATCATTGGTGACCATCCTGAACATTGCCTCCATCTTTGGAGTGGCAAGCGGGCTTTTTCAAAAGAGTCAACTCAAAGGAGTTTGTTTTGAGTACTTGCTTCCACTTTTGGACTATTTATTAATATATTTAATGATCTGCAGCACTATTTAGCAATGATATCCACATAGCTATTATTCTTCATCAAAAACCTTAAAGTGTAAATATATTAGATTGTGTCCACACAGCCCAGACCTAATCCATTCCAGTTTCATCATGTTGTGTTTGTGTGAAATTGTTTCTGTTGTTTTCAGGATGAGCAGTACGAGTTGAAGAGCCAGCCCACCGGCCTCTGCCTGATCATAAACAACAAAACGTTTGTTAGTGGTAAACCGAGACGTGGAACCGATAAAGATGCTGGTACGTTACAGAGTTGACAGATGTATATTATCATCCCGGTGTTGCCTGTTGAAGCCTAACTAGGTTTTATTTCACTGCAGAAAGCTTGGGAAAGGTGTTCACCTGGCTGGGGTTCAGAGTGCTGATGTGTAAAGACCAAACCAAGGACCAGATGGAGCGAGCGCTGAAATGCTTTGCTTCTCAGTGCGACCTTTCTCAGCTGCAGGAGGTCCAGGTCCAGGAGTGGACTGGAAGCAGATTCACCGAACTTCTAGAGGCTCCTCAGCATGGCGATGCCTTCATCTGCTATCTTCTCAGTCACGGGGGAAAGGGTGTGGTATTTGGGGTTGATAGGAAGCCCCTCCCTATCAAACAAATAACGAGAATCTTCATGGCAACTCCTCAATCTCCCCTCACTGCCAAGCCCAAAGTGTTCCTGATCCAGGCCTGCCAGGGGGACCAGATACATCCTAAGGTGGTATCAGACGATCCTATGGTGTTATTATAGGGTCTGCAGGCTGATAGCTCTCGCTCAACACGGCAGGCTGATGACTCTGACTCGAAATTCATCCCTCAGGAAGCAGATTTTCTAGTTCATACTGCCATCTGTCTGTAAGCAGCTAATAGAGGGCTGTCAGAGGTGAATGTCAGACTCAACATTAATTATATAGTTATTGAAATATCCAAAAGATTTTGTAGATCTAAATCTGATGTTAAAATCGTTAACATATATTTTACCCTCGACTTAATGTGACCATCATGTGATAACATGTTTTTCTACCCCTCATATTTATTTAGGAATGAAGAAATTGAAGTCATACTCCGCCGCGTGAACAAGGAAGTAGCCAGGAAAAACAGTGTTTTGAGATGTGGTCCGGAGTCTGGTACGAGCTGTGGTCCAACAACGCAGATGCCTGCAATTTGGCACACCCTGAGGAAGCGTCTTGTGTTGACTCCTCGCAACTGAAGCCTCATCGCCAAACACACAATACTGTGAGGACCCCTGCTTTACTCTCTCCTGGTGTGTGTGTGTGTGTGTGTGTGTGTGTGTGTGTGTGTGTGTGTGTGTGTGTGTGTGTGTGTGTGTGTGTGTGTGTGTGTGTGTGTGTGTGTGTGTGTGTGTGTGTGTGTGTGTGTGTGTGTGTGTGTGTGTGTGTGTGGCCCTTTAACGATCTCCCTTCCTCCCTATCAGCACTGACTGAGGGCACCTGGCCGTCGGCACCTGAGGAGTGAAAGGCCCGAGCCAGAGTCTCTCTCTCTGCTGAGGATCTGTTTGGAGAGCAGCTATCTGATTCATGCTTTGGTTTACCTTCATCTTAGTTTGGCATTTGTTGAGATCTCCATATCAGGTTGAATAATTAAAACGAAAGTTAGTTATAATCAAATATAATCAATTATATTCTTGTATAACCCAAAATGAAAATGCTTCATATTTTATGATTTTCTATATTTACAGTATAAACAAAACACAAGTGGTTTGTTAAGTTGAGTGTGTAAGGCCTATAATGGTTTATAGGTGTCACTGATAAGAAGGCAGTTTCTTCCCTCTTCCCTCACAGCAGTACACAGGGAGGGGGGCTCCTGACTTTTTGGAGATAGACTGAGGCCCAAAAAGGTGGTTTTGTCATAACCGAGAATAATGTTTTAGTTCTGTACATTTGAGGTCATGAACTTTTGTTACATAAGCCTGAGGAGGTGTGTATTGGGTTTGTCTGCCCTGTGTTGAGCTTTAAAACACTGGGTTAGAGAGGGAGAGCTTCAGAGCTGGGTTTTTGCTCTCTGTAAGGTTCTCTCAAACTTGGTAAATATCTCTCGAATTTCTTTGTTGAATGCTGAGTGAATTTCTTTGTGAAATGAGTGGAATGAATTAATGTTTGTTGAATGATAGTACCCTGCCACCTGTGAGGAAAGGTCCTCTGAATTCATGCTGGACATACGTGTACGTGAATTGATTTGTTGAATGAAAGTTTGAATGTGCTTTTTATTATCACTGGTCATTTATGAGGAAATGCCTCTAAATTCTATCGGGAGATTTTAAATGTCACAACTGAATTGGGCAGTTGAAGTTACAAATGATGGTAATAAATGTAAAACTGTGAATTGAGGTTTCACATTAGAACATGATCACAGCATGATATGTTTAGTAGGATTATAATGTTGTAACAAGAGAAGGTAAAAACCCTGTATAAGTGTGGACCTATTTTTCTTCAAATAAACTGATCCCACCTTTTGGATTGGGACAACTTAAAAGACATCTGCGCTCTCCTCTCCTGCTTCAAAGGTAAGATTGCACACTGCCACACTCACACTTAGGTAGGGCCACACCTCATTACTGATATCAAAATCCTTCGGGATCGCTTAAACAGATTTAGGGGGTCGTCTGAATTGAAACAGCAGTTAATTGAACCTGGTTCTTCAGGAGTTAATAGAGGTGAGATCTTGCTGACGTTGGTGGATCTGAGCAAAGCAGTAAACTTACATAGACTCAATAACTTCGGTTAGGTTCATTAGTAGGTCTGAGTAATTTAAGTTCGGAATAAATTATCGGATGACAGTAGTTATACTGATCCCGCTTCCATCACATAAGTATGCATACAAAGTGACAGGTCCCCCACTAATTATGCTAATGTGATATCCTTTGATGTGAGGGGTGAGGTGTTGTAACATGTAGGTGTGATATTCCCCCTTGTAGTAGATCCTTTGTTGTCTAATCTAATTAGCCTTTGATGTCTGCCCCTTTGTTGTCTAATCTAATTACCCTTTGATGTCTGTCCTTTGATGTGAGGGTGGTGAGGTGTTGTAACATGTAGGTGTGATATCACACCGACGTGTTATAAGCCTTTTATGTCAATCTAATTAGCCCTTTGATGTATGTCCTTTGATCAGTGTTTGTAACTAATATTAAGACAGTCTCTTTGAAGTTGTGTGAGACTGTCTCGCACCCCGTCCTCCTCCCACCCCGTCCCCCTCTCACCTCTTCTGTCACCCCCCTTCCTTTAGCTGTGATGTCAGAAGATAGTGAGGGGTGGAGTTAGGTAAAAAAGAAATCCGTGCAAACTAGATAAAAAGCCAGTCATTTCCACTCACCAAGTCACCTAAACTTTCAAAAACGAAAATGGCAAAGAGAAGCATCGATATGGGTTTAATCAGCGAGACGCCTGTGACAGTCGGGAGCGCCAGTCAAGAAACGGATGCAGTATCTGTGCCGGGTTCAGACCCTCCGTCTGAGGCTCTTCATGAAAAATGGAGTCTGGATGTGTGAGACTGTCTCCTCTCACACCCCCTCCCACCCCTCCCCTCCCCCAGCCGGTCACCTCCTGATTTTGCTATCAGCCATTCATTCTCATTCACTAAGTCACCTAAAAAATTAGATTAGTTTTTAACATGATTTGTGTTAACTATGGATGTTCTCTTAAGTTGTAAGGCTTGTGAACTAATGTTTAATTACTTTACTAACTACAAGGGACTCTCTTTTTTAAAAGAGGGTAATACTAATTAAAAAAGATGTTAATGACCCCCTGATATTGTAATTGTAATGTTTAATTACTTCACACAACTTTAAAAGCCCCTATGAAGTTGTTGTTAACTAAGGATGTTCTTTTGAAAATGTATGGCTTGTGAACTAATGTTTAATTACTTTAACTACAACGAAGTCTCTTTGAAGAGGGTAATAATAATTTAAAGATCTTAATGACCCCTTGATCTTGTCTTTTTATTGTTTAATTACTTTATTAACTATAAGGAAGATTTTGTTAGGATTATGTTTTAAACAGGACCCAGGCGCAGGCAATGACTGGAGATGTTTAAAAGGTTTATTGTTCTGAGACTCAGGCGGGTTTGGAGACTATGGACGTCCGGAGTGGAGGTAGGCAGTTCAGGCTGGACTGAGAACAGGGCAGGCAGGTATGGTGAAGGAAGAAGCAGGCAGGTTGGCTGGAAGCTCTGGTGGCCGATGGCTGAGGGATCGTACTGGAAGTACAAGGAGAAACTAATTACAAAAAGTACAGAATAACACGCAGACAGGATAACTGAAATGAGCAGCCAGGAGGATGCAATACCACTGGTGTAGAAAACAATCTGGCGGTGAGTTGCTGGGAGACTGGAGTAGATATGCTGTGTCTTGATTGGATTGATGAGGGACAGCTGAGCCGGTCGGCCAGGTGAGTGCAATCAGGCTGCTGCCTGCAAGGGAAACTACACCCCCTCCACACACACACAGGGGAACAAACAGGGACACACAGGGACACAGTTTGGGCCGTGACAGTACCCCCCCCTCAACGGGAGCCTCCAGGCGAACCACCAGGCTTGTCTGGGTGGTCTCTGTGAAAGTCCCGAATGAGAGAGGGACCTAGAATGAGCTTGCGGGACACCCAGCTCCTCTCCTCAGGACCATAACCCTCCCAATCGACCAGATACTGGTACCCACGGCCCCGGCGGCGAATGTCCAACAGCCGCCGGACCGTGTAGGCCGGGTGGTCATCAATAACAAGGGTGGGTGGAGGGGAGATGGCTGGAGGGCACAAAGGGCTGGAAAACACTGGTTTCAACTGGGACACATGAAAGGTAGGGTGAATTCTCATGGAGGGAGGCAGCTTGAGTCTAACAGCAGATGGATTGATTATGCGCTCGATCACATAGGGACCAATGAAGCGTGGTTTCAACTTCTTAGACTCAGCTTGTAAAGAAATATTTTTAGATGAAAGCCAAACTTTCTGACCTGGTTGGAACTGGGGAGCTGCGGTCCGGTAGCGGTTTGCAATATGCCGATTGCGTTCAGCGGAGCGGAGAAGGGCAGAGCGGGCATCCTTCCAGATCCTCCGACAACGACGGAGATGGGCTTGGACAGAGGGAACTGCGATCTCGTCCTCTTGGGCTGGGAACAAAGGGGGTTGATATCCAAGAGAACATTCAAATGGGGACATACCGGTGGCAGCACTAGACAGTGAGTTATGAGCGTATTCAATCCAGGGCAGATGTAAACTCCAGGAGGTGGGATTCCGGGAGGTGACACAGCGAAGTGCAGCTCCAAGGTCCTGATTGGCTCTTTCGGCCTGCCCGTTAGTCTGCGGATGATAGCCTGAGGAGAGACTGACAGATGCTCCAAGTGCTCGACAGAATGCTTTCCATACCTGAGATATGAACTGTGGCCCTCGGTCGGAAACAATGTCTGTTGGAATGCCATGAAGCCGGACCACATGATTGACTAGGAGGTCAGCAGTTCCAGAGGCTGTGGGGAGTTTAGGAAGAGGCACAAAATGAACCGCTTTGGAAAAGCGATCGACAATAGTGAGAATGGTTGAGTTACCCTGTGAAACCGGGAGGCCGGTAACAAAGTCTAGGCCGATGTGACTCCAGGGACGACTAGGGACTGGGAGAGGCTGGAGTAGACCGATAGGAGCCTGGTGTGAAGACTTGCTACGGGCGCAGACAGTGCAGGCCAGCACAAAGGCTCGAGAGTCCGCTTCCATGGAAGGCCACCAGAAGTGTCGTCTCAGGAGGGACAGGGTCCGATTCACACCCGGGTGGCAGGCAAAGCGGGAAGCATGGGTCCATAGGAGAACCTGTGAGCAGACAGAGTCAGGTACAAACAAACGGTTATCTGGACCATTTCCTGGATCTGGCTGGTCTCTCTGTGCATTCCTCACTGAGTTCTCAATCTCCCATGTCACAGCGCCCACCACTCTGGTAGCAGGGATTATGGTGTCAGGAACTATGGGGTCCTGATCCACTGCAAACTGCCGGGACAATGCGTCAGGTTTAAGGTTTTTAGAACCAGGTCGGTAGGTAAGGGTGAAGTTGAACCTGCCAAAAAACAATGCCCAGCGTGCCTGACGGGAGTTTAGTCGTTTGGCAGTTTGTATGTAGACCAGGTTCCTGTGGTCTGTCCACACAATGAATGGATGTTCACAGCCTTCCAGCCAGTGCCTCCATTCTTCCAGCGCAAGCTTTACAGCAAGCAGCTCCCTGTTGCCAACATCATAGTTGCGCTCAGAGGTTGTCAGTCGTCGGGAAAAAAAAGCACAAGGGTGAAGCTTTTGATCGGAGACTGAGCGTTGTGATAGAACAGCCCCCACACCGGTGTTGGATGCATCAACCTCAACAATAAACTGAAGAGATGGGTCAGGATTCATAAGAATAGGAGCCGAGGTGAAACGTCTCTTCAGCTCAGAGAAGGCAGCCTCAGCCTGAGTAGTCCATGAGAAGGGGATTGCTGGGGAGGTGAGTTGGTTGAGAGGACCGGCAACACGACTGTAGTCTCTGATGAACCGGCGATAGAAATTTGCAAAGCCCAAAAAACGTTGGAGCTGCTTCCTGG